CCTTGGACTCCAGAGCCATGTAAAGGCAGGGGCTCTGGCCAGATCCTATCCCAATCTGTTGGTGAGCTCAGAGCTCACTACTTCTGCAGAGCTCCAGATGGAGTCTGCATTGACCAGGCCATGAGCCCAAGAGCTCACTGGGCTTGCACAGCACAGCTGAAATGGAGGGGAGTGGGTGCACACCTCTTGCCCTCTTTAGAGGTCCACTACTGGCCTGCTCTAAATTGTGTTGGAGGCCTGGCAAGTTCCTGCAAACTCCAGGCAAGAGGAGTTGCATTGCTTTCTCTCTGGCCCACTGCAGAGCTTTGAATCTGGATAATGGAAATTGTGCACAAAAAAATAATATTAATTGAGGCCAAACAAGCCTATTTTCCTGTGTATTTTAAAGTCACAAAATAATGGCCATAATTTATCACTCAAGCTCTTTATTTAAGTAATCATTGCAGACTAAGTAAGAGCTAAAAACAAATTCAGTCCTGTATAAATTATGTTTAGATCAAAAAGGTAATGAATGAAACGTTCATTTTTTGAAAGGTGGATGTTTCATTGTTTGACACAAAGTACAAACTTTCACAGAATGTGCATGTACCAGCCCATTGGGAAAATAAAATAAAATAAAATAAAATAAAATAAAGACGGCTTTAGGGATATGAAGTAGGTCAAATTTACTATTTGCAAATCATATTTGACATTCACAGTAGGTTTCATTAGACTAAATTTTATTTATCGCTGCTAATCATGATACTTACTTCACAGGGTATTCTTCTTGCTTTAGGATCCTATATTCATAACCACTGGATTGTGCATGAATCCACTTTACATGAGTATGTGCACACATTTATGGGACCTGATCTACAATCACATAGCTTGCTTTAAGCTATGTGATTATAGATTGGGTCCCACTTTTGTGCAAAAAATATTCAACAGTGCTGGAAGCTATGCTAGGAACCAATCTAAGCAAGTCAGGGTAAGAGGAGGGGTTGGTGGGATCAGGGCAGGGAGCTAGTGGGACTTCAGAGGAGGGAGTTGAC